CGTGTGCAACATAATCTACATACCAGACACATATCAACGATGTAGATGTTGATAATATGAAGAACGTGACATTGTGTTTTTAAATGTTAAGTTTTAGACTGGGTTCAGTGTGGCAGCAACGTTAAGAGTATACACCTGATGATGGCCGATAGAGGCCGAAACATGTAGTGTAGAAAGAACAAGATCAAAGACATATAAATGTATATTGTTTGCACTTAGGACGGAGTTTGTATCATTTATCGTGTAGAGTGCAACAGGATGCTTAAATATAATAAAGTAATTGTAGTTACGACCTGTAGGTTGTAAATAAAACCAATTAACAATCCAAAGTCGGTCTCCAGTCACCCAAACACGTTACAGTATGAAAAGCCCCAGGATCGCTTTTATCATGATATTTTACATTCAGTGCATTCATGAAGTAGGAATTTATGTGCTATTTTTGTCAGGTGGTTTAAATGTTAAAAATAAATTCGCTGCATGGAAAGCATGGATCAAAATATGTGTGACGTCAATATCATGTCTCTTCCAGGCTCCTGAAATTGTGAACATCACCAAATTTGTCTCCAGTGGGTCAGTAAGTCTGGCTTCTCTTGTTATATACATTGAGATAGTACAATACGAGGGCAGTGACTTGCATCTAGTCAGTCAGTTTAACAAACCCCATATTCCCACCAGACTAAAGCAAAGCTTGTCTTCTTCAAAGAAGTGTATTTTGAATTGTGTGCTTTTTAGTTTATACATATATTAATTAGTACTAAATAAATAACACCAGGGATCTGAGTTAGTAATTATTAATGGAAGTTTTTATTTTGGAGACCTCTGATCCCCCTCACTCAGAAACTTTTTTAAAATGTATAAATTTTATGTCACATGATGTACACATGCTGTGCGCAGCGAAACACCTGTTTGGTGTAGCTGATGCAGCAGAAGGGCTGACAAGTACAAGGCAATGCCGAGCCGCGTGGAAAGAATGGACTATGAAATAACAGTACTGAATTTGGTGAATATGAAATGTGAAACCAGAAAGGAGACGGATGGAACAGCAGTGAGACTCTGATCGTGACCTAGAAGCCTGTGACTTAACACATGGAAAAGAAAAGAAAAGGTTACTGACTTGAGTCTTGATCAGAAATATTCAGAGTAAAATTGGTAACCTACACAGTGTGAAAGTAAAGTTCCCGAACTGACTCTTTTACAATACTACTATTAACGCCATTTATCGGGGATGAACGGGAATAACTATAGAGAACGTATATATATGAATGTATATTGTGGCGTATTTGCTCTATGCAGGAAATGTTGAGCCACGTCACATCCCCACTCATCCCGTACTATGCAACGCTTGTCCTGTATTAAAAAAA